TGATCTCTATGCAGCATTAATCTGATTCTGTCTTCTTTTACACTCCATCTAATATTATTTTCCAAGACACAATTCTGTCCTACTTCTCCTTCTTCAAGAATGATTCCTTTATTGAGTTTGTAATTTCCTTAGAAGTGTAACATCTCTGGGGTCTATCAGATCTTAGCCTTTGGAACCAAATAACCCTGGCCTCAAATTCTGACTTCATCATTTACCAGTGGTAAGACTTTAGGCAGGATACTTTATCCTTCTGTGCATTAGTTTCTTCTGTGAGAAAAATTAAGAGATAAAATCTACCATATATAGCTGTTGTGAAGGTTATGCAATTTTTAAGGCATTACATCTAAATGCTTGAGGGTAAAACAGTTATTTTTCCTAAAAACATTTTTATTCTAATATAAAATAAGATGTATTGTTATCCCTAAACAATATATATTTTTAAATGTCATAATTTTTTTCCATACAATATTGACAGAATAAATGCTTTCTTGGGTCCTCAAATTTTAAAAGTCCTAAGACCAAAACATTTGAGAACTACTGGTTTAGTATGAGATACATGAAAAACATAGTAACGAAAACAGACTCCTACCGCATCTCAATCATCATATCCTCGAGTAATTCTGAGGAATCCCTGCTATAGATTCGGATGTAGAATTGACTAGGAGAGATGATGTACTCTACAAAGACCCCCACGAGGGTACTGGTATCTAGAGGTGGAGGTCTGCATAATTTCTTGTCCCGTACAGCATCTGGGGGGATATCATGATTCCCCACTGCCAAGTTGAGCTGTGGCTTGTTTATTCCTGCTTGCTACAAGTTAGAAAAAGAAAAAAAAATAACAGAAACGACTGTAAATCATTGGGTGACATTTCAAACTCCATGATAATTTTCCTCAAAGTACAGTTCACTAATCACATTTGTCAGAATCACCTGGGGAAGTATACTGCAGCTCCTGAGACATAGCCCAGGCGTGCTGAATCAGAATACACAAGAGTGGGACTCATAATTATGCTTTTAATAAACTCCCCTGGTGAGTCTTACCGATGTTAAAATACAAAAACTAGTGCCTTATGATGCGAAGCAAAGAGTTAAAAAGTGAGTTAGACAATGGCCCCATTCCAAATTTAAAACATGATACTTCAAATATTTAGGTTTAGTCAAGATGAATTCCTATGAAACCCTACCAACAATCAAAGAAAACTTTAAAGGAATCAAGTATACTTCAAATAAAAAGGAGTTTCTTACACATTGATATAAAATATATTAATTTCCTCTTTACACGTTTATTGTCTTCCAGAAAACATTAGGGTAAGTAAAACAGTATTGCTAGCGTGGTCCCCATTCACACATGTACACAAACATGTTTACACATGTTTCTGCTATCAGGGACTGGGCTGCAGACAAGTTCTCTCAGGAACACACTGGATTTGCTCTCATTCAGATGGCTTTGAAAAAAAAAGCTCTAATCAAAACCATAGCTTCCAATGGTCTCTATTGGGCTAGTGAAGGCAGAGAGGTCAGCTCAGAAGACGACGGTGACTGTTTTGGGGAACGCAGAGAGGTACAGTGAACCCTCGTTTATCGTGGTCAATCGGTTCTAGACCCTACCGTGATAAATGAAATTCCGC